TGCATTAATAAATCCAATTCTTCTCCACTTTCTGTATTCATGTCTGTGTACTAAAAAATAAACCTTGCCCCAACAGTTATATAAAAAGATGCTCAACATCATTATCATCAGAGAAATGCACATCAAAACTACAAGATATCAGTTCACCCCAGTTAAAATAGCTTTTATCCAAAAGACAGTCAATAATGAATGCTGGTGAAGATACGGAGAAAGAATTCTCATACACCATTGGTAGGAATGTAAATTAGTATAGCTGGATCACTTGAGCCTGGGAGGTTAAGGCCGCAGTGAGCCGTGATTGCGCCATTGCACTCCAGCCTGGGCCACACAGCGAGACCCTTTTTTTTTTTTTTTGAGACAGAGTCTCACTCTGTTGCCCAGGCTGGAGTGCAGTGCAGTGGCACGATATTGGCTCACTGATACCTCTGCTTCCCGGGTCCCAGTTCAAGCAATTCTCCTTCCTCAGCCTCCCGAGTAGCTGGGATTACAGGCACGCGCCACTATACCCAGCTAATTTTTGTATTTTTAGTAGTGATGGGGTTTCTTCATATTGACCAAGATGGTCTTGAACTCCTGACTTCGTGATTCCACCTGCCTTGACCTCCCAAAGTGCTGGGATTATAGGCGTTAGCCACTGCGCCCGGCCAAGATCCTGTCTTAAAAAAAAAATCCCATAAAAACCAAAATCCTGTTTCCATTATCAGTTACTCCTCATTATCTTTGAACACTACCTCGTCCCCATCCCTAGGCACTTTTTATCTCATAGATTTGCCTATTCTGAATATTTCACGTAAGTGCAATCACAACCCTAGGTATATTTCATATAAATTGCCCCCATTCCTAGCCGATCACTAATGTGCTTTCTGTCTCTATATATTTGCCTATTATGAACATTTCATATGATTACAATATGTACTCTTTTGTGCCTGGATTATTTCACTTAGCATAATGTTTTCAAGCTTTATCCATATTGTAGTATATATAATTCCTCTTTGTTGCCAGAAAAATGTCATTGTATGGTTGGATATGCCACCTTTTCCTTCTCCATTTATCAGTTGATAGTTATTTGGGTTATTTGTACTTTTTTTGGTTATGGTGAATAATGCTGTCACCAAAATTAATTTACAAGTTTGTGTGGACGTTTGTTTTCAATTCTCTTGGGAATATAAACCCAGCAGTTAAATTGCTGGGTCATTTGGTAACTCTATATTTAACTTTACGAGGAACCACCAAACTGTTTTCAAAAGCAACAGCACCATTTACAGTCTTACCATCTGTGTATGAGGATTCCAATTCCACCACATCCTCACCACTTCTTGTCATTATCTGCATTTTGATTGTAGCTATCCATTGGGTATAAAATGATATCTCATTATGATTTGATTTGCATTTCCCATGCAAATCTTTTCATGTGCTTATGGGTCATTTTTTATCTTCCTTGAAGATATATCTATTCAGATCCTTTGCTCATTTTTAAATTTGGTTGTTTATCCTTTTATTACTGTGTTGTTTAAGTGTTCTTTAGATATTCTAGATACAAGTCTCTTATCAGATACATGTCTTGCAATAATTTTTTCCCAATTCTATGAGTTGTCTTCTATATTCTTCATGGTATTGTTTGTAGCACAAAAGTTCCTAAAATTTTGATAATGTCTTATTTTTCCCTTTGTTGCTTGTGCAAAAGAAGCCAAATGAGGTTTTAATAGAAATTGCATTGAATCTGTAGATCAATTAGGGGAATATGCCATTTTAACCAAATTAGGCCTTCCTATTTATGAACATGGGATTTTTTCCATCATTCCAATATTTTCCAATATTTATATTCAATTTCCCTACCTCACACCCAGACAGAGATACAATCCAGATCTAGAGTATGGTGGTCAAAAGCACAGATTATTTCTTAAGACAGATTTAGGTTAATATACCATTCCTTCTACTGATTAGCTGTGTAAATATGGACAAATTACTTATTTATTTTATTTTTTTTTTAGATGGAGTTTCGCTCTTTTACCCAGGCTGCAGTCTAGTGGTACAATCTTGGCTCACTGCAACCTCCGCCTCCTGGGTTCAAGTGATTCTCCTGTCTCAGCCTCGCGAGTAGCTGAGACTACAAGAGCATGCCACCACACTCGGCTCATTTTTGTATTTTTAGTAGAGATGGGGTTTCACCATATAGGCCAGGCTGGTCTCAAACTCCTGACCTTGTGATCTACCTGCCTTGGCCTCCCAAAGTGCTGGGATTACAGGCATGAGCTACTGCGCCTGGCCTACTTAATTTTTCTAAGCCGTATTTTCTCATCTGTAATGTGCAATTTTTTTTTTTTTTTTTTTTTTTAGACAGGGTCTCTCTGTCACCAAGCTGGATGGAGTGCAGCGGCATGATCTCGGCTCACTCCTGGGCTCAAGCAATCTTCCTATCTCAGCCTCCTGGGTAGCTGTGACCACAGGATTGTGCCACCATGCCCGGCTAATTTTTGTATTTTTTGTAGAGATGGTGTTTTGTCATGTTGCTCAGGCTGGTTTCTTGAACTCGTGAACTCAAGCAATCTTCCCACCTCAGACCCCAAAGTGCTGAGATTACAGGCGTGTGCCACCACACGCATCCTAAAGTACAAATTTTAATGCGGATTTCATAGGATGTGAGGATTAATGACAAATGTGGGACACTTAGCATAGTGCCTGGAACACAGCAAATGCTCAGTCTGAGCTATTTTTATTATTATAGCACTTAACAATTACTACAAAAAATAGTTATTTTGACTTTTAAAATTATTAGAGCCCCAATTTCCCCTTAAGTGTGTTTCTCCATCTCCTTAGAATCCATTGACTTTATATCTTGTTTCCCTACAATCTTCTGTGTCTTCTTTAAGGATAATGAACCAATCTGATTTATTTATTTATTTATTTATTTATTTATTTATTTATTTATTTTTTTTTTTTGAGACAACGTCTCGTTGTGTCACCCAGGCTGGAGTGCAGTGGCGCAATCTCAGCTCACTGCAACCTCTGTCTCTTGGGTTCAAGCGATTCTTGTGCCTTAGCCTCCCAGGTAGCTGGGACTACAGGTATGCGACACCACACCTGGCTTAATTTTTGTATTTTTAGTAGGGTTTCTCCATGTTGGCCAGGCTGGTCTAAAACTCCTGACCTCAAATGATGTGCCCGCCTCAGCCTCCCAAAGTGCTGGGATTACAGGCATAAGCCACCGTGCCCGGCCTAATCCGATCTCATCTTTGATCACCATGCTCTTTCCTAACCTTTCCTAAAACGTGCAAGGCACACTCCCACCCCAGTGCCTTTGCATATGCTCCTTTTGCTCTGTCTACAAATCTCTTTCCATAGCTATAAACTTGGTTTATTTATCACCTTCTTCAGGGTCTTTGTTTAAATATTATCTTAACAGTGAGGCTGACCATCCTATATAAAATAGCAAAATAATCCCTCTACTTACCTTGCTTTATTTTTCTTCGTAAGCTTTATAGCCACATGACACATTGTATATTTACTTGTTTGTTTCCCCTTCTAGAATGTAAGTTACACGAGGACAGAGATTTTCATGTTTTGTTCCCTGCTGTATCCTATCTCTATATCTCTATATCTCTCTAACAGTCCTAGGCACATTGGGTACTCATTAAGCACATGTTGAATGAATGGACTTCTTCTCTTGGCTAGGTGCGGTGGCTCACACCTGTAATCCCAGCACTTTGGGAGGCCGAGGCGAGTGGATCACTTGAGGTCAGAAGTTTGAGACAGCCTGGCCAACATGGCAAAACTCTGGCTCTACTGAAAATACAAAAATTAGCCGGGCATGGTGGCATGCACCTATAATCCCAGCTACTCGGGAGGCTGAGGCAGGAGAATCACTTGAATCCTGGAGGAGGAGGTTTCAGTAAGCCAACATTGCACCACTTCTCTCCAGCCTGAGCAACAGAGTGACTCTGTCTCAAAAAAAACAGTGTTTTCTCTCATAGGCAAGTAACCTTAGTAGTAAAATGAGAAGAGAGCAGCACCCAAGTAGTTCTGCTGAGAGGTGAAGCCAGCTGGACTTCCTGGGTCGAGTGGGGACTTGAAGAACTTTTCTGTCTAGCTAGAGGATTGTAAACGCACCAATCAGCACTCTGTAAAAACACACCAATCAGCACTCTGTGTCTAACTAAAGGATTGTAAATGCGCCAATCAGCACTGTGTCTAGCTAAAAGATTGTAAATGCACCAATCAGCACTCTGTAAAAACGCACCAATTAGCACTCTGTGTCTAGCTAAAGGATTGTAAATGCACAAATCAGCACTCTGTAAAATGGACCAATCAGTACTCTGTAAAATGGACCAGTCAGCAGGATGTGGGCAGGGACAAATAAGGGAATAATAGCTGCACCCCAGACAGTAGTGGCAACCTGCTCAGGTCCCCTTCCATGCTGTGGAAACTTTGTTCTGTTGCTCTTCACAATAAATCTTGCTGCTGCTCACTCTTTGGGTCCGTGCCACGTTTAAGAGCTGTAACACTCACCACAAAGCTCTGCAGCTTCATTCTTGAAGTCAGCGAGACCAAGATCCCACCAGAAGGAACCAATTCCGGACACACTGCTAGGAGACTGCTTCCAGTCAAATGGAATGTTCTTCCTCTGATCAAGAAATGAATCCTACCATAAATTCAAACATATCTATACATACCTATACAGAGTCCCATCCTTTTAAATTGGAAGAACTTTATGAAATTTTAGAGCTAGTTCTAAAGTGTGCAGAGAGAGAACTAAGATATACTAAGATTGAAAGGTATTTGATTCCCACCCCTACTTCATCCTCTCTCCAGCCTCATAATATATGCCTTCTGTGTACGAGGGTGGACTTAATGACTTTATCTTTTTTAAATTAAAAAACGGATCTAATACTAGTTTACTTTCTCCAAGGATACAGTAGTTCTCTTGGTAATAAGATCTTAGATGTTCATGCTTTTGACAATCATGGTTAACTTGCAGTTGGAGAACACGGCGGCATGCCTGGTAACTGAACTACAAGTCCCAGAGTGCATCTCTACGAGGATTCTGGGAAGTGTGGCAGAAGCTGCAATGGTCCTTCTGGGGAACGGAAGCCGTTGAACGTGAACATTTGGTTTCCTCCTTTGTGCTGATTCCTGAGGAATAGGAAGGTGCCCCGAAAAGAATTCAGAGTGAGTACAGTGAAACAGAAACCTGCTCAGCTTCTAAGTGCAGGAAGGACTTCACAGGGAGGCATGATCAGAACTTGAAAAAAGGTCGTGGTCACAGCATTTTAACATTTTAGCTTAATCTCTTCCTTTTTGCAAAAACCACGGATATAACCATAGTTTTGCCTCATAAGTGTGGAGCTACCTCAGTAACCACAGCTAATAATTTTCTGATACTTTTTTGGAGAGTCATTTTAAAATGCAACTTGCTAACTTCTCACATTGTGCCTTAATTTTTATTTTTTTTTTAAAGGGAGGAAAAAATATTCTTTAGAAAGCAAACTATAAAGCAGGTCAGTGAGACCTTCAAAGTTGTTTCCCCGTGGTTCCTCAGTTCTCCATATTTCCCCATCCCATGGAGGTCCACAGTCGTGGAGAAATGGACTCTAAAAAGAGCTCTTTTTTTTTGAGGCGGAGTCTCACTCTGTCGCCTAGACTGGAGTGCAGTGAGGCGATCTCCGCTCTCTGCAAGCTCCGCTTCCCGGGTTCACGCCATTCTCCTGCCTCAGCCTCCCGATTAGCCGGGACTACAGGCGCCCGCCACCACGCCCGGCTAATTTTTTTGTGTTTTTAACGGAGATGGGTTTTCATCGTGTTAGCCAGGATGGTTTCGATCCCCTGACTTCGTGATCCGCGCGCCTCGGCCTCTCAAAAGTGCTGGGATTACAGGCGTGAGCCACCGCGCCCGGCCTAAAAGAGCTCTCTTAAATACTAGGGAACCTGGCCTCTTCTCGGTGGAAGTAACCACTAGATTCAAGATGAGCTTTTTTGTCACGCTCTAGTGCTTAATTAATCTTTCTTCTGGAAAGATGAACAGGATAAGAAACATGTGTGAATCATTTGTTATGGGGAGTTCAGAGAAACTATTAATGTTAAAGCACCTTGCCTCATCATTTAGTAGCTGGGTAAGACTGCTATTACCTTTCATCTCTATCAAACATTGTACTTTTAACAACATAAATAGCTCTGTGACCATCAGCTCATGAATCAGCAGGCCATGATAATCTACAACTGGCTAAGCTTAATTTAGTAGCAGAAACTAGGCAAAACATCTGGCAACAGTTCCCAGGGTCCAAGAAACTTACCAAATGAATTCCCTTTGGCTCACGGAATATGGTGAGGTGTTTTGGGGTAACAGTGGCATGGAGGTAGCCCCATTAACCAGTTAGTCTCAGGAACTACTATTTTATTAGGCTTTTCTTTTGTCTTAAAAGGAGTAAGTACACATGGCTTTTTTTTTTTTTTTTTTTTTTCCAGTACAGAAAAATGAATAAAGCAAAAATTACCGGCACCATTTTCAATCTTTATCGTCATCCCACTCCCCCAAATTAGTCACTCTTAACAGTTTGGTATGTATACTTCTAGTCATTTGAAAAATATAAATAAGGCCAGGGGTGGTGGCTCATGCCTGTAATCCCAGCACTTTGGGAGGCCGAGGCAGGCAGATCACCGGAGGTCAGGAGTTCGAGACCAGCCTGACCAACATGGAGAAACCCCGTCTCTACTAAAAAATTACAAAATTAGCTGGGCGTGGTGGCGCATGCCTGTAATCCCAGCTACCTGGGAGGCTGAGGCAGGAGAATCGCTTGAACCCGGGAGGTGGAGGTTGCAGTGAGTCGAGATTGTCCCATTGCACTCCAGGCTGGGCAACAAGAGCAAAACTCGGTCTCAAAAAAAAAAAAAAAAAAGAAAAGAAAGAAAAATATAATTAAATACATATAATTTATGTATATTGGTATGTCTGTGTCCTTTTCTTTATAAATTAATTAGGTCATGTTAACCAACTGTTCTTGTTTTTTCTCCAGCTTTATTAAAGTATACCAAAAAATGTATATATTTATAGTTTACAATGTGATATTTTGATACAGGTATGCATTGTGAAATGATTAAATCTAGCAAATTAATATATCCATCACCTCACATAGTTTGTGTTGAGAACATTTAATATCTACTTTCTTAGTAATTTCCAAGTATACAATACATTATAAACTATAGTTACCACACCAGCACAATAGATATCCAGAATTTATTCATCCTCACTGAAACTTTGTACACTTTGACTAGTATCTCCTCCATGTCCTCCTTGCTTTTTTTGTTTACTTAATAATATATTCTAAGTATCTCTCCCTGTTACTATATATATTTTTTCACTGTTATATTATTTTCTATTTGTTCTTTTTCTTTTTCTTTTTTTTTTGAGACGATGTTTTGCTCTTGTCATCCAGGCTGGAGTGCAATGGTGTGATCTCGACTCACTGCAACCTCTGCCTTCTAGGTTCAAGCAATTCTCCTGCCTCAGCCTCCCGAGTAGCTGGAATTACAGGCATGTGCCATCACGCCCAGCTAATTTTGTATTTTTAGTAGAGACAGAGTTTCTCCATGTTGGTCAGGCTGGTCTTGAACTCCTGACGTCAGGTGATCTGCCCGCCTCGGCCTCCCAAAGTGCTGGAATTACAGGCGTGAGGGACCGCACCCAGCCCTTCTATTTGTTCTTAAGTCACGTATTAATCCATTTTATCATAATTTTCAGCTAACATTCTTGTACATATCCTTTCCTTCCTAGGGTAAATTTCCTAAACATGGAATTGCTGAGGAAAAAGGCTTATGATTTGACACTTTAATAGATATTTCCAAATCAACCTGTAAAAAATCATACGAGTTTACATTCTGAGTGGTGTATGAGCCAGAAATAATGACTTTAAATACATTTTTTCTAGTATATCACACTAGTTTTGGGGTTATTAAAGTAGGAATAATACTTTTAACAACCTCCTAGAGTGCTTTGCAACCCACATATTGCATACTGCCTTCTGTGAAAGCTGGCTATCTATTTGTTTTCTCTCTCCTGCTAGAGTTCCTTGAGGGCAGGGATTTCCATCCTTTATATTTTTGTGTTCTTTAAGGGACCCTGAATAAAGTCAGTACTCAATAAATACTTTGTTGAATGTCATTTGCTAAATATATTTTACTCATGGCTAGGACATAGATTGTAGCCAAAACTGTCCAAGGATTCATCATCAGTGATTCATAATTATGCAACCAAGAAGCAGGACTAAATTTTAGATGTTCTTCAGTCATTTAGTGTCAAAGCTTGCTTTCCTCAGACACAGTGAAAAGGGTGGTTGGTTATTTAACTGTAATGAATTCTTGACTTTTTTTACTGCCAATGTGAAAGGTACTTTTCATGGGGAATAAAATACTGATACACAATTTAAAGGGACCATCTCTGCCAGAATGGATTCTTTAGTTACCGTTTTTTTTTTCTTTCCCAATGAGCTACAGAAAAATAGAAAATATCTTGGATCCATGTGAATTTGCATAGCTGCCTTCTGAAAAAATGTCCTAATGCTGTGACTTTATATATTCTTATCTTTTTTTTTTTTTTTGAGACAGAGTCTTGCTCTGTCGCCCAGGCTGGAGGGCAGTGGTGCTATCCCAGCTCACTGCAACCTCCGCCTCCCAGGTTCAAGCAATTCTCCTGCCTTAGCCTCCTGAGTAGCTGGGATTAGTGGGCGCCACCACGCCCAGCTAATTTTTGTATTTTTAGTAGAGACGGGGGTTTCACCATGTTAGTCAGGCTGGTCTTGAACCCCTGACCTCGTGATCTACCCACCTTGGCCTCCTAAAGTGCTGGGATTACAGAAGTGAACCACTGTGCCCAGCCCTATATATTCTTGTCTACAGGATTCCTTCTACTTCATTCTTATTCTAGGTGGGTAGAACAGGTTTCAGTTTTCTAGATGATGAAAGAAGTACTGAAATGTTGAGATCCCATAGCTACTTAGGGGTAGAAATGCAATTTAGAAACAAGATCACCTGACTCCTATTGAGTTTGTCTTTCCTTAATATTACAAAGTGATCCCATCCTGGCATAAAATATAACCCTCTTGGCAATTCATTACTTTAAATTTCATATTATGACTTTTTTTAAAACTCCTGTTTTTTTTCCTAAGGACCTGACAATGTTCCTGTATTGTGGAATAGCTTGCAGGAGAAAATTTTTTTGGTGCTATAGGCTGCTGTCAACCTATGTTACTAAGACACGGTGAGTTTAGCCAACCTGAGCTTTGATTATTCTGTATGGCCCATTAAGTTATTGTGATATTATGATTTTACATATATAATTAGGTTTATGATTATTATATATACATTATATATTATGTTTGTGTGTGTGTATGTGTGTATATATATGTGTGTATATATATATTCATCTGTGTTTTCTGGCTCATAATTCCTATGGCCCTTATTACAGTCTTTTGTTATAATGTGGGGCACTTTAGACCTCAGGGGCAGGCCTCAGGAAACAAAATCTCTTGTACCTTCTCCTGTCCTCCTTTTACCTGTCCATGGCAGGACTCTAATCTGATTGTGGGTCCAAAGACCCTAATTCCAGAGAGGGTTGTGCCCCATACTCCGGAGGAAGGAAGGCTGCACAGAGAGGCCAAAGAGAACCTGAACAGACAGACATTGCTGGGTTTCCGGTCAGTCTGTTAGTATGAAATCATAACCATTTTGTCCAATCACATTTCTACATGGTTGTCAATCATGCCTATGTAATGAAGCCTCCATAAAAACCCAAAAGGACAGGGTTCAGAGAGCCTCTGGATAGCTGAACACATGGAAGTTCCTGGAGGGTGGCGCACCCAGGGAGGCATGGAAGCTCCACACCCTCCCCCCACATACCTGGCCTAAATGCATCTCTTTATTTGTATCCTTTGTAATATCCTTTATAATAAACCAGTAAACATAAAAAAAGTATTTTTTTAATTTTTTTAGAGATGGAGTCTCACTCTGTCAGGCTGAAGTGCAGTGGTACGATCTTGGCTCACTGCAGCCTTGATCTCCTGGGGTCAAGTGATCCTCCCACCTCAAACCCCAAGTAGCTGGGACTACAGGCACATGCCACCATGCCTGGCTAATTTTTGTATCTTTGTGTAGAGACAGAGTTTTGCCATGTTGTCCATGCTGGTCTGAACTCCTGAACTCTGGCAATCCACCTGCCTTGACCTCCCAAAGTGTTGGGATTACAGGCATGAGCCACCACACCTGGCCAAAAAATTTTAAACTAAATATCCAATGATATCTAAAATATCTCACACACTTGAATATAAGTTCTATTAAGATCAGACTTTGTCTTTCCACTGTGGTACCCCTACTTCATAAAACAGTGCCTGGCACATGGTAGGCACTAAAGTACTGTTGAATGAATGAACAGTAAGGGAGAAATTAAGTAAATTAAGGTACTATAATAGAATAATAAACATGTTAAAACTATATTGTTCTATACCTGTCACTTCAGATGAGAAAAACTGTATTGAATAATATTTCATGAAGTTTCCTGTAAATAAGGTAGATAACCCCACCCCCTCTCCCCAAGAACTAAACTTCAGTGAAAGGTAGAGTAGGAAATAAAAATCTACAATAGCACATGAAGATGATAAAGACTTTTTTGTCTCAGCCTGGAGAAATTAGAAATCTGTGAATTTGAAATCACTAGACTGCTTTCATACACTTTTGGGGGTTAAATTTATACTATCCGTGTGGTGTGGTCCTAGAACCCTTAACCTAAGAAATAATTTTTTTTTTCTTTTTTTTCTTTTTGAGACAGGATCTTGCTCTGTCACACAGGCTGGAGTGCAGTGGTATGATCATAGCTCACTGCAGCGTCAACCTCCCAGGCTGAATCAATTCTCCCACCAAGTAGCTAGGATCACATGCGAAGCTACTTGTGCACCACCATGCCTGGCATGCGCATATATATATATATATTTTTTTTTTTTTTTTTTGAGGCGGAGTCTTGCTCTGTTGCCCAAGCTGGAGTGCAGTGGCGCGATCTCGGCTCATTGCAAGCTCCGTCTCCTGGGTTCACACCATTCTCCTGCCTCAGCCTCCCGAGTAGCTGGGACTACAGGTGCCCACCAGCACACCCGGCTAATTTTTTGTATTTTTAGTAGAGACAGGGTTTCACCCTGTTAGCCAGGATGGTCTCAATCTCCTGACCTCGTGATCTGCCTGCCTCAGCCTCCCAAAGTGCTGGGATTACAGGCGTGAGCCACTGCACCCGGCCAATATTTTTTTTATTGTTTGTAAGCTAGGGTCTTGCTATGTTGCCCAGGCTAGTCTTAAACTCCTGGGCTCAAGCAATCCTCCTGCCTCTACCTCCCAAAGTGCTGGGATTATAGGCATGAGCCACCATGCCCAGCCTAAGAAATGAATTTAAGTAGTAACCTTGGACTGAAAATACCCCTGGGGCACCATGTAAACACAAATATAAAACTCCTTAGGAAGTATATACTCACAACCAGTGATTCCTACATATAAAGCCCTACCAAGCATGAGTGCCCAGTCCAAAATTTAGAGGCATATAAAGGCTGGGTGCAGTGGCTCACACCTGTAATCCCAGCACTTTGGGAAGCCAAGGTGGGCAGATCACTTGAGGTCAGGAATTTGAGACCAGGTTGGCCAACATGGTGAAACCCTATCTCTACTAAAAATAGAAAAATTAGCCAGGTATGGTGGCGTGCACCTGTAGTTACAGCTACTCAGGAGGCTGAGGTGGGAGAGTCACTTGAACCTGGGAGGTGGAGGTTGCAATGAGCCGAGATCATGTCACTGCACTCCAGCCTGCGTGATGGAGTGTCTCAAAAAAAAAAAAAAAATTAGAAGCACATAAGCATAAAATCCTACATGAACAAGGGTGAACAAACAACAAAATTGTGACACTTGTTTCAGATGTTGGATGTTTAGGTTGCTTGTACTCCTTTAACAAACTACAAGAATTTTTTTTTTTTATTTTTTTGAGACGGAGTCTTGTTATGTTGCCAGGCTGGACTGCAGTGTCATGATCTTGGCTCACTGCAACCTCTGCCTCACCAGTTGAAGTGATTCTCCTGCCTCAACCTCCCGAGTAGCTGGGACTACAGATGCACGCCACCACACCCAGCTAATTTTTGTATTTTTAGTTGAGACAGGGTTTCACCATGTTGGCCAGGATGGTCTCTATCTCTTGACCTTGTGATCCACCCGCCTTGGCCTCCCAAAGTGCTGGGATTACAGGAGTATGCCACAGCGCCCAGCCAAGAATAGTAACATGATTATTGAATAGAGTTTAAATATGTTAAAGTGATTAAATAGGCCGGGCGCAGTGGCTCAAGCCTGTAATCCCAGCACTTTCGGAGGCCGATCATGGCGGATCATGAGGTCAGGAGATCGAGACCATCCTGGCTAACACGGTGAAACCCCATCTCTACTAAAAAAAACCAACAACAACAACAAAAAAAACTAGCCGGGCAAGGTGGCGGGTGCCTGTAGTCCCAGCTACTCAGGAGGCTGAGGCAGGAGAATGGTGTGAACCCGGGAGGCGGAGCTTGCAGTGAGCTGAGATCCGGCCACTGCACTCCAGCCTGGGCGACAGAGCAAGACTCTGTCTCCAAAAAAAAAAAAGTGATTAAATAAATCTATTTAAGAATGAATAGGCCGGGCGCGGTGGCTCAAGCCTGTAATCCCAGCACTTTGGGAGGCCGAGACGGGCGGATCACTAGGTCAGGAGATCGAGACCATCCTGGCGAACACGGTGAAACCCCGTCTCTACTAAAAAATACAAAAAACTAGCCGGGCGAGGCGGCGGGCGCCTGTGGTCCCAGCTACTCGGGAGGCTGAGGCAGGAGAATGGCGTAAACCCGGGGGGCGGAGCTTGCAGTGAGCTGAGATCCGGCCACTGCACTCTAACCCGGGCGACAGAGCCAGACTCCGTCTCAAAAAAAAAAAAAAAAAAAAAAGAATGAATAAAAATAATGAGGCCAGGCACGGTAGCTCACACCTGTAATCCCAGCACTTTGGAGGCCAAAATGGGTGGATCACCTGAGGTCAGGAGTTCGAGACCAGCCTGGCCAACATAGCAAAACCCCATCTCTACTAAAAATACAAAAATTAGCTAGGTGTGGTGGCGGACACCTGTAATCCCAGCTACTTGGGAGGCTGAGGCAAGGGAATCACTTGAACCCGGGAGGCAGAGTTTGCAGTGAGCCGAGATCACGCCACTGCACTCCAGCCTGGAAAACAAGAGCGAAATTCTGTCTCAAAACAAAAACAGAGAAAAGAATAAAAGTCTATCAATAAAGAATATGATGTGAAAATGTTTACATATGTTTAAGAAAAAAGGCTACAAATTAGTAGGTTTGATGGATTCTAAATATATATGTATTGATATGTAATATTAATCACTTAAGAGAATTCCAAGGTGTAAACAGTGATTATCCCTGAGTGGTGGGATTTTGATGATTTCCTTTTAAAAAAATTGACAACTGTATATTCTGATTATTAAAGACTGACTATTTTTTACTGTTAAAATAAGGAAAAACTTTGTTTTAAAATAATCTAAATATTTTCAGCTTTGATCATCGTAGCAATTTCCATACTATTATAACTGAAAAGGGAAAATAAATTTTTGAAAATAAGAGTTCCTGATCCAGAGGAGTGTAAGGAACTTTTGATCTCAATTCCAGTTCCAGTAAGGCCTTGGGTCTAAGACCTTAACCTGGGTGTTTTTGTAGGTGTTTTGCTTTTTAGGGTCATTAGGGCAAGTACAGGTTGTACCACTCTTTCTGTTCTTTTACGATGGCAGCAGTGTTTGTTCTATTGTTTATATTTGGTAACTTCTGAGTGACACATGTCTCTCCTTTGACATGCATTGAGTCTTTGCCCCAGGAGGCTACAGTGACTCATAATAAGTTTAAAAATATCACAAGTCTTAAAAGATCAGGTTTCTTTTGTCTTCTATTTATAAAGAGCTCATTGTAACCCCTTTTATCACAGTCAGAATAGGTTCTGAAAGATACCACTGGGTGCATTTGTCTTTTTGCTTTTTATTTTCATGTTGAGCCAGCTCTGCCTACTAGTATTACAAGAGTTCTCAGATCCCACAGGAAATATCTGCAAACTATTTTTCCAACTTGACAAAAGCAGCCAGTTTTTACCTGAGTGTCTGTTTTAGGGCTTTTGACAGGCAAAAATGGCTAACCCCAAGGCCCCAGGGGAATCTGCATTCTGTCCCTGCTATTCACAAGGATTTGAAGGGAGAGACTCAGCCCACCCTTAATGAAGGTACTGGAAAAGCCTGGTACTTACCCCATTACATTATTGCCTTTTTTTGAGAAACCAAGAATAGGAGGATGTTCCCTTTTTCCACATTTTCATTTTGGCTACTGAAAATACTATGGCTGGGCACGGTGGCACACGCCTGTAAATCCCAGCACTTTGGGAGGCCGAGGGCAGATCACTTGAGGTCAGGAGTTCGAAACCAGCCTGGCCAACATGATGAAACCCCACCTCTACTAAAATACGAAAATTAGCTGGAGCATGCCTGTAATCCCAGGTATTCGGGAGGCTGAGGCACGAGAATTGGCTGAACCTGAGAGGCAGAAGCTGCAGTCAGCCGAGATCATGCCACTGCACTCCAGCCTGGGTGACAGAGTGAGACTCTGTCTCAAAAAAAAAAAAAAAAAAAGAAAGAAAATGAAAATACTATCCTTATTAAATAGGTTAAGTATAGGTTTCATCAGTGCTCCCTTTGTCTGTTTTTTTTTTTTTTTTTTGAGACGGAGTCTTGCTCTGTCACCCAGCCTGGAGTGCAGTGGCGTGATCTCTGCTCACTGCAACCTTCGCCTCCCAGGTTCAAATGATTCTTCTGCCTCAGCCTCCTGAGTAGCTGGGACTACAGGCGTGTGCCACCATGCTCAGCTAATTATTGTATTTTTAGTAGAGACAGGGTTTCACCATATTGGCCAGGCTGGTCTTGAACTCCTGACTTCGTGATCCACCTGCCTTGGCCTCCCAAAGTGCTGGGATTACAGGTGTGAGCCACTGCGCCCGGCCAGGTGCTCTCTGTGCTAGAGATAAGGAGTTAATGGTATCTACTTTGGGATCTAGATGTTTGAAATAAGGGTACATTGAAGGTAAAATTTGTTCTTTATCTTCCCTAGATTGAATGAGGGTCACTGAAGATACAGTGTTTACTCTTTGTCTGCTGTGAAAAAGTCTGTTCCCATCTCTAGGTATTTTGTGGTTGATGTTTTATCACTGTACTTGTTTTCCTTTCACTCCACTGCATGTAAATTCTTGCCTCACAGTGTAATATTGGCAGAGTACCTTGAAGGTCAATTCAGTAAATATTTATTGAATCGAGCCATTCAATATGCTAACTACAGAGATACAGAGCTGAGTAAAGCATACATTCCCCTTAAGGAGATCATAGTCTCTCAGAGGAGACAGACAAATGAACAAATAAACCAATAGTGCAACCACAGAAGCATAGGTGAGGTACACAGTAAGACAAAGGAGGGAATGAATGATTACCTATAGCCACCTCAAACCCTTTTTGGAGCAAATTAGGTTGTAAATAAATAAAGGGAAATAACCATGGTAGGAGAGGGATGCAGCGGCAGCATTCTCAAAGATGAACGCTATACAGGTAACTAAGGGTGGTTTTGTAATGGTTTATTTCCCAAATACAGGTATTTATTTGAACTGAAGGAAGATGATGATGCATGTAAAAAAGCCCAGCAAACAGGAGCGTTTTACCTCTTTCATGGTCTGGCTCCTCTGCTTCAGACTTCAGCACATCAATACCTGGCCCCCCGACATAGCCTGTTAGGTAAGTCCAGAGTGGACCAGTGGTGTTGACCAGCCTGTGGCCACTAAGCAGAATTCAGCCCATAATGAATTCTAAGAAAGATCCTTGAACTTTGGAGTCTAGATTTTTCAAAAAGCTTTTGAGTCTCGTGCTTGTATAACTGCTTCTGCCAACTAATAATTTATTTTATGAACTCTAGTTGTCCAGTCAAATATTATTTGTTGATGAAATGAACCACTAATGCCTTAAACCAGGGGTTGGTAAAACTGCTGTCCAAATTGTACCTGCTACCTGTTTTGTAAATTAATTTTTATTGGAACATAGCCATACTCATTCATTGACATATTGTTTATAGCTACTTTTGCACTACAATGCAGAGTTGTGACAGAGACTGTATGACTCACAAAGCCTAAAATATTTAGTATCTCTTTCCAGAAAGTTTGCCTGTCTTTGCCTTAGAGCAGTGAATTCCAGCCTCCACTGAGGTATACACTGTTATGCTAATTAAGAGTTCTATCATGGCCGGGCAAGGTGACTCACACTTGTAATCCCAGCACTTTGGGAGGCTGAGGCAGGAGGATCACGAGGTCAAGACATTGAGACCAACCTGGCTAACAAGTCTCTACTAAAAGATACAAAAAAATTAGCCGGGCATGGTGGCAGGCACCTGTAGACCCAGCTACTCAGGAGGCTGAGGCAGGAGAATGGCATGAACCTGGGAGGTGGAGCTTGCAGTGAGCCGAGATCGTGCCACTGCACTCCAGCCTGGGCAACAGAGAGAGACTCTGTCTCAAAAAAAAAAAAGAGTTCCATCATAACTTCATTTTTATTAGAAGGGTCAAGATTAAACGTGAATTAAAATAAATTTGCTTTTAGAACTCTTTTAACATATATAACTAAAGATATCTAAGCCACTGGGATTTGTCATTCAAAATGCAAACTTTGGCTGGGTTGGGTGGCTCATGCCTGTAACCCCAGCACTTTGGGAGGCTAAGGTCGGTGGATTGCTCGAGCCCAGGAGTTCAAAACGAGCCTGGGCAACATAGTGAGACCCTATCTCTACCCAGGAACAAAAAATTAGTCAAGCCTGGTGGTGTCTCAAAGACAAAACAAAATGTGAACTTTCAGTTTTATATGAGTCACTATATACTGACTAACTTCTGTATTGCCAGTGAATTTCCCCCATAGGTTAGAAGTTGGAGTACTTGGATAGGTAGTTTCTAGCAGTGCAGAAGAATCTGAGGACTCCATCAGAAGGCACTATACATTATTTAGAGATTTAGCAATGTTTATGTTGTATTATGATTTTTTTTGTGTTATGTTGTATTATGAACAAATAAATATGAGTCCATCATGAACAAGTGTATAGGATTTCTCCCTACACAGCACTCATCTCTTAGAGATTGGCATCTCAGATGAGTATTTTACTCTACTTTGGTCCACAAAAGTAGCACATTCTGGAGGTTAATTACAGAACTGGTTTGGTCTTTAACTGCAGCCTTGAACTCCTGGGCTCAAGAGATCCTCCCACCTCTGCCTTCCAAGTTTTTGGAACTACAGGTGTGCACTTCTGCACCCGGCTGATTTTATTTTTTGTAGAGACAAGGTCTTGCTGTGTTGCCCAGGCTGGTCTCAAACTCCTGGCTTCAAGCGATCCTCCCTGCCCCCCAGCCTTGGTCTCTACCATTTTAAGTGTGACACTTATTTTTTTTTCAATGACTTAATAAGTTAACTATCATGCATCTTACTACTAGGGGATATTTTCCTTTCATGATACAGTCATAGAGTAACACAATGTTATACAAGAATTCCTTCTTTGGTCTAAAGTCCTCAGATTGCTAAGGAGAAAACAGGCCTGGAAAGGTTAAACGGTTAGACCAAGGTTACATAGCTAATTAGCTGCAGCTGGAAGCCAAGTATACCTACTTTAAGCTGAAGCAGACGATTTTCAGTGAGTCTAATATGGCTGTGGTGATTTAATAGAAACCTTTGTGTTTTGCTTTTCTCCTTTCTGTTTCTTAGAGTTGGAAAGGCTCCTGGGTAAATTTGGACAGGATGCACAAAGAATAGAAGATTCTGTGTTGATTGGATGCTCTGAGCAGCAGGAGGCATGGTTTGCTCTGGATCTAGGTCTGGATAGCTCCTTTTCCATAAGAGGTACATAACATTATTCCTAATGGGTACTTCCCAGTGGTCTTCAGAATTTGGGATTTCACGTAATGGTAAAATTTAAAGGAAAATTTGGGGAATACGAAAGGCTATCAACTTTCTATTTTTTAAAAAAGGACATTAAAAATACTGTCATCTGCTATCATCATTTAAATGAAAATAAAGGATATTTTAATACCTTCTAAGTTAGGTGATGGGTACATGAATGTTTACGGTATTAGTCTCTGTACCATTATACATTTTATTTATTGAGACAATGTCTTGCTGTCGCCCAGGCTGGAGTGCAGTGGTACAATCACAACTCACTGCAGCCTTGCCCCCCTGGGCTCAAGTAATCCTCCCACCTCAGCCTCCTGAGTAGCTGGGACCATAGGCATGTACTACCATGCCTGGCTAATTTTTAATTTTTTTTTAAATAGAGATGGGGGTCTCCTTATGTTGCTCAGGCTGTTCTCAAATTCCTGGGCGCAAGCAATCCTCCCTCCTTGGCCTCCCAAAGTGCTAAGATTATCGGTATGAGCCACCACACCTGGCCTATACATTTTATATATATATATTTTTTTTTTTTTTTTTTTTTTGAGGCAGAGTTTCACTCCTATTGCCCAGGCTGGAATGCAATGGCGCAATCTCGGCTCACCGCAGCCTCTACCTCCCGGGTTCAAGCGATTCTCCTGCCTCAGCCTCCCTAGTAGCTGGGATTACAGGCATGTGCCACCACGCCTGGCTAATTTTGTATTTTTAGTAGAGACTGGGTTTCTCCATGTTGGTCAGGCTGGTCTCGAACTCCTGACCTCAGGTGATTTGTCTGCCTCAGCCTCCCAAAGTGCTGGGATTACGGGCAGGAGCCATGGCGCCCGGTCACATTTTGTATATTTCAATATTTCATAAGAAATGTTAAAAAAAAACTTATGACATCATTCTTATTTCTTTTATGAATACAGGTGAATAAAAATGTTTCCATAGAGTAGCTCTGGGTCCACAGACCTGCAGTTGGGAACCACTTTGCTATTGGCTCATGGCTCCTGTCAGGCTTTCCTTCTGTCTTTAATGGTCTAGGTATAAATGTAGTGATGCTGGGATGAGGTTCAGATAGGAGCCATGAGGTCCCACTTCACCTCTTTTCCAAGGATAAGCTAATGCAAATGTTCTTGTTGCCGCGAAGAAGATCTTGAGACATACTATGTGCTAATGTTTCCCAAACTAGCCTGAATATAAGAATCACCTGGTGCTTGTTAAAAAATAGAGATTGCTGGGCCTCACTCCATGCCAGCTGCTTTAGAATCTCCAGGTAGGGGCCTGAGAATCTTGCTTTTTAAAAAAATTTTATGTATATATTTATTTATTTTGAGATGGAGTTTTGCTGTCACCCAGGCTGGAGTGCAATGGTGCAATCTCGGTTCACTGCAACCTCTGTCTCCTGGGTTCAAGTGATTCTCCTGCCTCAGCCTCCCGAGTAGCTGGGATTACAGGCACCCGCCACCAAGCCTGGCTAAGTTTTGTGTTTTTAGTACAGACAGGGTTTCATCATGTTGGCCAGGCTGGTCTCGAACTCCCGACTTCACGTGATTCACCCTGCTCGGCTTCCCAAAGTGCCGTGCCTGGCCTTTTTTAAATTTTAGAGATGGGGTCTTGCTGGAGTGCAGTGGCTATTCACAGGTGTGATCATAGTGCACTGTATGTAGCCTGGAACTCCTAATGGTCTCAAGCCATCCTCCTGCCCCCACCTCCTGAGTAGCTGGGACTACAGGCACACACCCCCACACCCAGCTGAGAACCTGGATATATTTTACTTTCTCCAGTTCAATCTCAAGAGGCAAGTTTGGGAAACACTATTTTAACAGGACAGACTGGAGAGAGGCCCTGAAGCAAAGTTTGTCATTGTTTAATTTCATTATCTTTTCTGATTTTCTAGCCTCCTTACACAAACCTGAAATGGAGACAGAGCTCAAGGGGTCTTTCATTGAGCTGAGAAAGGCTCTCTTTCAACTCAATGCAAGGGATGCCTCCATGCTGTCCACGGTAGATTCTGGTTTCTCATTCTGCAGGAAATTTAGTAGGGCACTATGTGTGGGTAAATCCACGTGTAAATCCAAGGCTACAGTGACGTTTGATTTCTTCTTTTGCAGATTCTAGTCCTTTCTACAAACACTGGCAGGACAATGTGCTGTAGGAAGACTGCTTATTCTCCCTTCTTTTGCCCTTGTTTTTGGCAGAACCACTGTCAAGATCATTGTCTCCTAAAGACATGCAGATCTATGGCAATAGGATCTGACAGCCTCATAAACATTTTTAATGACCCACACAGCATGACATACAGCATCATGTTTTCCCTAAGAGAAATTACTTTACATTGCTTTAATGACTTGCCCTCACAGCTTTAGATTTCACTTGCTAAAGTATTTTGATTGTGCATTTAATTTAAAAAGAAACTTCTAAATATTTTTTTAGTTGCAAAAAATTCCAACTTTACTGGGGAGGAGAACATTTTAGGATGTTCAACTATACTGGGAATGTTTTATTTTTAAGCTGGTTAGTGAATACATGGGTGTTCATTTTATTACCTTATATACTTTATATGTTTTAAATCATAATACATTTAAAAATATGCTTTCTTTTATTCAGATTTCTGATGCTACAGGAATATATTCAGTTAGTTTACTTGTCCTAAAATTTAAACAGTAACCATTTAAATTACGTGGGCTGGAAAGAGATTGGCATTTCCCTGTGAGTTGTTCCAGATAGTAGGCCCAGTGCTGTTAAAGATGAGCCCCGCATTCTCTACAAATGAAACCAGGCCCATATTTGTGTCCCTAGGCTCAAGCTCTTCTCCGCTGGCATGATGCTCATCAGTTCTGCAGCAGAAGTGGGCAGCCCACCAAGAAGAACGTGGCTGGCAGCAAGCGTGTGTGCCCTTCCAATAATATCATCTATTATCCACAGGTAAGTATTGCTGTAAGAGGACAGTAATCCAAGAAGACTGTGCACTGCTTTGTCCTGGGGAAGAAAGCCTGTGCAGTTCCTTAATTATACATTGCTTTAGCTCATTGGCAGGCCCCCAAGTGCCAGCATCTCAGTTTCCATTCCCCTTTCCTAGATGGCTCCTGTGGTAATCACACTGGTGTCAGATGGGACCCGATGCCTGCTTGCCCGCCAAAGCTCCTTTCCCAAGGGAATGTATTCTGCCTTGGCAGGTTTTTGTGATATAGGTAAGGAGTTAAAGGGATATACAGGTGACACTGGAAGATACACAATCTTACTAATACAATCTTCTCTGTCTTGCTGCTATGGAGTTTGGATTCCCAAGCACATTCTTTTCTATCATGTCAAGAAAACTGCCTTCTGGCATTATATATATATATAAAATTTCTGGCATTATAAACACACACACACACACATATATAAAATTTTTTCCTTTCCTTTTTTTTTTGAGACAGAGTCTCACCCTGTTGTTCAAGCTAGAGTGCAGTGGCACAATCATGGCTCATTGCAGCCTCGACCTTCTGGGCTCAAGCAATGCTCCCACCTCAGCCTCCTGAATAGCTAGGACTACAGACGCAGGCTATCATGCCCGGCTAATTTTTAAAAATTTTTGTAGACACAGGATCTCGCTGTGTTGCCTAGGCCAGTCCTGAACTCCTGGCTTCAAGTGACCTGCCTGCCTTGACCTCCCAATGTGTTGGGATTACAGGTGTGAGCCACACTATTTTTTTAAGCAAATTTTCAAACATAGGAGATTGTTGAAAGAATTATACAGTGAACACCCATACACCCACTACCCAGATTCTATAATTTTTTTTCCTCTTCACATGTAGGCATTTGTTTGTAGGGAGGCCACAAGCTTCGTGCCTCTCATCACAATGACCCCAGATTCCTGTTGGGTGTGTTATAAACAGAGGAGCCATTCTTTAGGCCCCCTGCTCTGAGCACACCCCTAGATTCCATAAATTTTTACTACACTTTATCACAAAGCTATTCATCTATCCATTAATTAATCTATCTTATTTTTTGATGCACAGATTTAAGATATTAGTACACTTCTTCCTATTTCAGCAGGCATAACATTAGCTAAAATTCAGTATTTATTTACAGGTTGGTTTTTTTCTCTAGTCTATTGGGGTCAAATTTGCAAATGGTGAAAAGTGGAATTTTATGAAAGCTGAGGGCAGTAGTCCCTCCTACTATCACCCTTACTTTGCATTATAATAACTAACCTAGCAGGCTTAAGCACTGTGGTTCAACACACAGCTCTGGACCTGATTCTTATTGTTGGAATGACTGGGAGTTTTAGGACACTCCCAAGAGCATTTCATTGAAACTTTGGAGCCAGTGTTGTGTGCCTTTCTCAAATGGGCTGTCTGTATCACCCTTCTAGCTACAGGGCTGTCCTGAATTAATCTGAGTGCTTGTAGGTGAAAGTGTGGAAGAGACCATCCGTCGAGAAGTTGCAGAAGAGGTGGGATTGGAGGTGGAAAGCCTGCAGTACTGTGCATCCCAGCACTGGCCCTTTCCTAGCGGCTCACTCATGATTGCTTGCCATGCAACTGTGAAACCAGGGCAAACAGAAGTAAGTTCTTATGTTTCCCTTATGCTGTGATAGTTCTTTTGCTTCGTCTAATCTGCTCATCAGCAAGTACTTATTAAGCACTTGTCTAGTCCAGCATCATCTAGATTATATAAACATTTGTAAAATATGATTTAGGGCTGAGCACGGTGGCTCATGCCGGTAATCCCAACACTTTGGGAGACTGACGTGGGCGGATCACTTGAGGTCAGGAGTTCAAGACCAGCCTGGCCAACATGGCAAAACCCCATCTCTACTGAAAATACAAAAATTAAGGCTGGGCGCGGGTGGCTCATGCCTGTAATCTGAGCACTTTGGGAGGCTGAGGTAGGTGGATCACAAGGTCAGGTGTTCAAGACCAGCCTGGCCAAGATAGTGAAACCTCATCTCAACTAAAAATACAAAAATTGGCTGGGCGTGGTGGCAGGCGCCTGTAGTCCCAGCTACTTGGGAGGCTGAGGCAGGAGAATTGCTTGAACCCAGGAGATGGAGATTGCGGTGAGCTGAGGTCGAGCCATTGCCCTCCAGCCTGGGCAGCGGCAAGAATGCATCTCGAAAATAAATAAATTAATTAAATTAAATATGATTTATGCCCTCAAGGAATTTGCAGCCTATTAAAGGAAGCAAATAATCTCCATTCTTCCTTGCATATATGTCAGTCATGAGATAATTTCTTTTCTTTTTTTTTTTTTTTTTGAGACTGAGTCTTACTCTGTCACCCAGCCTGAGTGCAGTGGCACAATCTCAGCTCACTGCAACCTCCGCCTCCTGGGTTCAAGTGATTCTCCTGCTTCAGCAGAGAAGTATATACCCTTGAAATTATCAAACCATCATCACTATCAATGCCATAAACTTATCACCTACAAAAGTGTCCTTCCACCTTTTATTTTTCTCCCACCCCACTATTGTTTTTTTTATTTTGTGGTAAAAGCACTTGACGTGAGATCTATTTTCTTAGCAAATTTTTATGTGTATAATATAGTATTATTAATTGTAGACCTTATGGTATACAGATCTTCAAAACTTATTTTGCATGACTGACACCTTGTACCCTTTGACCAGTGGCCACCCCCGCCATTTTCCCCTCTCTTCAGCCCCTGGCAACCACCACTCTACTCTCTGCTTCTATAAGTTTGCCTATTTTAGATTCCACATATAAGTGAGATCATACAATATTTGTCTTTCTGTGTCTGGCTTATTTCACTTAGCATGTCCTTTGGACCCATCTATCTTGTTGCAAATGCAGGATTTCCTTCCTTTTTAAGGCTGAATAATATTCTATTCTATGTATATACCACATTTTCTTTATCTATTCATCCATTGTGAATAATGCTGCAGTGAACATGGGAGTGCAGATACCTCTTCAAGATCCAGATTTCAGTCCCTTTGGACATATATCCAGAAGTTGGTTGCTAGATCAAAGGGTCATTCTATTTTTAATTTTTTGAGGAACCTCCATATCTTTTTCCATAGTAGGTGCACCAACTTACATTCCCCCCAACAGTATACATGGGTTTCCTTTTCTCTACATCTTTACCAATACCTGCTGTCCTTTGTACTTTTTTAATAGTAGCCATTAAAGAAGGTATAATAGTAGCCATCAAAGAAGGTATGAGGTTTTCATTTGCATTTCCCTGATTATTAGTGATGTTGAGCACCTTTTCACACACCTGTTGGCCATTTGAATATCTTCTTTGGAGAAATGTCTATTTAGATCCTTTGCCCATTTTTAAGTTGGCTTATTTATTTTTTGGTATTTTTTTTTTTTTTTTTTTTTTTTTTGAGACGGAGTCTCGCTCTGTCGCCCAGGCTGGAGTGCAGTGGCCGGATCTCAGCTCACTGCAAGCTCCGCCTCCCGGGTTCGGGCCATTCTCCTGTCTCAGCCTCCTGAGTAGCTGGGACTACAGGCGCCCGCCACCTCGCCCGGCTAGTTTTTTGTATTTTTTAGTAGAGACGGGGTTTCACCGTGTTCGCCAGGATGGTCTCGATCTCCTGACCTAGTGATCCGCCCGTCTCGGCCTCCCAAAGTGCTGGGATTACAGGCTTGAGCCACCGCGCCCGGCCTATTTTTTGGTATTAAGTTGTAGGAGTTCCTTATATATTTTGGATATTAACTCCTTATTAGATATAGGGTCTGCAAATATTTTCTCCCATTCTGCAGGTTGTCTCTTCACTCTGTTGATAGATTCCCTGACTCTGCAGAAGCTTTAGTTTGATAGAATCCCTACTTGTCTATCTTTGCTTTTCTTGCCTGCGCTTTTGGTGTCATATCTAAGAGACCGCTGCCCAGTCTAATGTCTAGAAATTTATTCCTTTATGTTTTCTTCTAAGAGTTTTATTGTTTCAAGTTTTACATTTAAGTCTTTAATCCATTTTAAGTTGGTTTTTGTATATGGTGTAAGATAAGGGTCCAATTTTGCATGTGGATATCTGATGTTCCCAACACAGTTTTTTTTTTTTTTGAGACAGAGTCTGGCTCTGTTGCCCAGGCTGGAGTGCAGTGGCCGGATCTCAGCTCACTGCAAGCCCCGCCTCCCGGGTTCACGCCATTCTCCTGCCTCAGCCTCCCCAGTAGCTGGGAGTACTGGCGCCCGCCACCTCACCCGGCTAATTTTTTTTGTATTTTTAGTAGAGACGGGGTTTCACCATGTTAGCCAGGATGGTCTCGATCTCCTGACCTCGTGATCCGCCCGTCTCGGCCTCCCAAAGTGCTGGGAATACAGGCTTGAGCCACTGCGCCCGGCCCCAACACAGTTTTTATGAGACAATTTATCTTTTATTGTCAGGACTTAAAGAGTGTCTTACATATAGTAGGCACACAATCAGGCATCATTTAATGACTGACTGCAGGATTGGTCTTACTGCTCAAGTCAGTTAGGATGCTGGGAACTAAAAATAGAGTCTCACTCTTGTCGCCCAGGCTGGAGTGCAGTGGCACAATCTCAGCTCAGTGCAACCTTTGCCTCCCGGGTTCAAGCAATTCTCCTGCTCAGCCACCTGAGTAGCTAGGATTACAGGTGCCTGCCAGCATGCCTGGCTAATTTTTGTATTTTTATTAGAAATGGGGTTCCACCATGCTGGCCAGGCTGGTCTCAAACTCCTGACCTCAGGTGATCCTTCCGCCTCAGCCTCCCAAAGTGCTGGGATTATGGGCATAAGCCACCATGCCTGGCTAGACATTGTCTTATCCAATGTCATCTTGCACTTCCCTGACCGATGGTCTCTGCCTGCCAAAGTTTGCCTATTGTATGTTTTGGTTTTTATAGAATCTTTTATAGAATATCTAATCTATTTCAGCTTCCTCAGCATGAAGTTCACGTTACTTTGCTTCTTGCAAAGATGAGACTATGCTTTTGACTATCGTTAACCCTTATCCTTTAAAAAAAAAAAAACAGTGGCTGGGCACGGTGGCTCACGCCTGTAATCCCAGCACTTTGGGAGGCAGGTGGATCACCTGAGGTCAGGAGTTCTAAACCAGCCTGTCCAACACAGTGAAACCCTGTCTCTGCTAAAAATACAAAGAAATTAGCCGGGTATGTTGGTGGGTGCCTGTAATCCCAACTATTCGGGAGGCTGAGGCAGGAGAATCATTTGAACCTGGGAGACGGAGGTTGCAGTAAGCCAAGATCACATCATTGCCCTCCAGCCTGGGCAAAAAGAGCAAAACTCCATATCAAAAAAAATTTTTTAAAAAGTAATATTTGTATGTTCTTTTTTAATTGAAAAATTTATACAATCAATAGAGACACAAGGAAAAATAGGTATTATTCATAATTTATTCTCAATGTTAACCACTCTCAACATTTTAGTATTTGTACTTCCAGGATTTATTTAATATATCTTATCTTTTTTTTTTTTACTATATTAAAAATATATTTAACTCTCATTTCTTAATTATGCCTCTTTTGCTTCTGGGCAGTATCTAGAACTGACTTTCATCTAACCTGGAGATCCCAGGTATTATCTTCTAAGATTGCTTAGTTCTAGAATCATTTTCTGACCTTTGGCTATAGTATTCTAAATTTTGTAGCTCCTGATCTTACATCCTTTTCTTCCTTATGTCTTTCAGATCCAGGTGAACTTGAGAGAATTAGAGACAGCTGCCTGGTTCAGTCATGATGAGGTAGCCACAGCCCTGAAGAGAAAGGGCCCCTATACTCAGCAACAGAATGGGACTTTCCCATTCTGGCTGCCCCCTAAGTTAGCCATCTCCCACCAACTGATTAAGGAGTGGGTGGAAAAACAGACCTGTTCTTCCCTGCCTGCTTAGCCCAGACCAAGTAACTTTGATCGCTCCTTGGTATTCCTGAGGGACAAACTAGAGATCAGTTGACAAAGAAGTGACAAAAGACAAGCTACAGGACCTCAGAAGGGCAGGGCAGAGGGTGAGCCTACAGTAAGACACTTCTATCAGCAGTGTTAATGGAAGAAATTCCTACCAATGGGCAATCAAAAAAGCCAGTGTGAGAAGAAAACTGATGAGCTGTCAACTGTCAAAACTCAGGGGGAAGGCGGAAGCATTAGTTTGGATGTAGGCCCTTGTTCAGTCATTTTCTCCAAGGCCTTGGAAACAAACATCTTTTGGCATATGGCTTGTTAATGTTGCGTTTACACTAACTGCCAAAATGTGCCTGTTGTAAGTTTGGTTAAAACTTTTATCTTAGTATTGAAAATATATAGCAAGTTTCAAGTCATTACTGAGTTACTTGTTACTCTTACAGAATTAAGAAAAATAGCACAGTATAACATATTTAAATTCATGTACAGGTGCATTCTAGTTACATGTACATGGTAGTTAAATAAAAGTCATAATTAAGTCATTATGACTCAGAGTACTTTATAATAAACCAGATGCCATGAGGCTCTGTTGAGGTAGTAGAATCTCAATGGGACTCCAGAGAGTAAGTCTTTTTTGCTGTTTTCAGCTCTGTCACATGCTCAGTTCGTGACCCAGGGAAAAGACTCTCGCTTTGCCATGCCTGTTTTCCTAAATAAAACAGTTGCTGGCATTTGCACATCCACAATGTGTTGATTAACTTTAACAAAGGGATTGGTGGAGATAAACAGATGCCAAACCTGACCTATTTCTTAAACTTTATGGAATAAACTAAATTTAGGATTTCTCATCATTCATATATGATGCCCTAAGGGAGAAGAGATTATTTGGGGAAAATAAAATGTCCACACCTTTGTTCTGATGTCTTTTTCTGTTCTATGAATTGAGAAAATTTTACAAGGTGAGAATTTGGGGGTAGGGGAAAGGATCCCTATTGGTGACAATTAAACAATTAAGTCCAGGTTTCAAGTCAGTGGAACAACTGAAGCAATGTGCAGGAGAAATGTTAGAGGTCTTGCTGAAAAGAGGAAATAATCATATCTTCAGAAGATTCTAGGCACTAATTTGTGATTAAAGACACAAGCTCCAGAGACCCTAAGGTTATTTACACGTCAAAGTCCCATAGGACTAAGTTCCAAAGTCCCATAGGACTAAAGAGATTCTAGAACTAGAAAAGTTAAAGCACTGAATTTCCTTTTGATCTCAAAAGGTCATTGCTCTCTCCACAGCCAGCAAACCATCATTGCTTTGGGGAAATCAAAGTGCCTTCATCAGGAAATGTTGAGGGATAATATGTGATGGGACTTGATTGTCTTGTTAGATTGGCAGCTTGCCTTTACCTGGGCTGAACCCAGCATGCAGAAGGGTAAAGCACTCACAAAAGAGAGGTTCTGAGATTTCTTCATATCTTGCAGTTAGAAGAAAACAGTTCAGGGTCCATGTGTATTACCATCTCCCAATCTTTTCTATCTCTATGTGGGTGTGTTTGTGAGCACATGTGTACACATCCCCAATCTGAAAATACTGATAGAAAGGGGAGTGTGCGGAGTTCCTGGTTATGAGTTTCCCAAACTTACCATGGAGTAACTGTTTGTTTTTTGATTAATGTGTTTTTGGGAAAGAAAAGATGAGAGTGGCTAGCAGCAGGAGCTGCAACATTGAACTTTGCTTCTCAGTAGTGAGTGGGAAAAGAACTTTGCTGTAGAACTCCAAGGATATCTGAAAGCTGAGGCAGAAAAGAACAGGCTTGGGATACTGAAAATGGCAGATAAATAAAAGAAACTTTGGTACAGGGCCTACCTGACCTGAGAATATATATGTGGGCAATGAATTATGAAGGTGCTAAGGATAAATATAACTCATCTGGGTCCATGATGCAGAATAGAAAAACAGGTGAAAGTCAGTCAGCCCTGGTAACCAGAATTTTAAAAATTTTCATTTATATTTTTGCCTGTCTGTCACCCCTTCTCTACCCAATATTTAATCCTCAATGAAGATAAACCTAATGTACCACAAGTGCAATGGGGGGAAACCTTTTTCTCATAGTTGAGCTGGGATGGCATTCTGGACCCCATTTTTAACATGAGAAATGTAGCTTCAAAACAAACAATAAAAATATATTTAAAATAATTATTATTTAAAATGTTAAAATGTTGCACAGTATCATCTGATGTGTTACTTTAGTCAATGTGTAACACTTACCCTCTTCCTTAGTTCACTTCAGTGAACACTAGGAAGAGAAAGGATTGGAGTGGGGTATGGTATATTTAGTATTTATTTATTTATTTATTTTTGAGACGGAGTTTCGCTCTTGTCGCTTGGGCTGGAGTGCAATGGTGCAATCTTGGCTCACTGCAACCCCCGGCTCCCGGATTCAAGCTATTCTCCTGCCTCAGCCTCCCAAGTAGCTGGGATTACAGGCACCCACCACCACGCCCAGCCATATTTAGTTTTTATTAGTTTGTGATAGTAAGTTCTCAAATGAGAACTCTACTACACCATTCTCCTAATTCTTCCCTTGGTCACTGGAGAGGGAACAGTATGAATCTATTTCCATTGTTTTTACTTGGATAGGGTAAGATATAGTAAGGGCATCTCTCTGCTGCATGCGATAATAAAGAAGAATCCAGAGACCTAGATTATAAAAACATGGTCAATATATGGAGCTGTCTGTAGAGAAGACTTTTTTTTTTGCTTTTAATGGTGAATTTTATGATATATAGATAATGATTTATTTTAGGAGGAATATGAGAATCATTTTAAGAAACATTTCATCTTAGCAATAGATATATCAGCTATATTAAATATCAAACCAATTAATTAATTAAAACAATTAAGTACAGTATCAGGTATGAAATGTCCAAAATAGGCAAATCCATAGAGACAGAAAGTAGACTAGTGGTTTCTAGGGGCTGGGAGTAGAAGGGAATGAGAGACTATTAGTGAGTATGGGGTTTCTAATATTCTAGAATTAGATGGTGGTGATGGTTGCACAATTTTGTAAATATACTAAAAACCCCTGAATTGTATAAAGGGTAAATTTTTTGGTATGTGACTTATATCTCAATATAGCTGTTATTTACAAGTAAATAAGTTCTATATCTTGCTTCAGGTACATACATACATGTAAAAATTCACTGACTGTACACTCAAGATTTGTGCACTTAACCATATGCATGTTATGCCACATTAAAAAAACTGAAAAGAAAAAGTGAATGAGTTATCAAATCCAAATCTGTCAGCTTGAAATTTTGATCTGAGGATGAATAGCAGTAAGGGAGAAATTTAAATATTTAGAATTACTCCAAGGGTATATTGTGGTAGGCCATGTCCTTAGCACAAAGTGTGTGAATTTCATCTCAAAGTTGTCTAGGGGTTAGATTCTACCCTGCCGAGTTCAAAACCTGTGTGTAACCCACAGCTGAGATCACAAAGACTTGTGCCAAGAGGGCCACAATTCTCATGTAGGAGAAGTCAATCTGTAAAACTTGTAATGAAGAAACATTTTTACTAAATGAGTAATCTAAACTAGAAATGAACAGAATCATATTCAATATTTATTTAAAAAGAGAAAAGAGAAGCTAAATGTGCTGGTTAATTTTTCGTTGGCTTACTTGTTGGTCTGTGATCGGTGTTGTCAGGCAGCTGCACTCCCATGCTTTGTAAAAGATTGGAAGCGGGTCCTGCCAGTCCAGCTTGGGAGCTATAGGATTCCAATATATTTGAAACCAGGTTCAGGTCCACATCTACTGGTGCCATAACAGATTCTCCTGTATCAGAATCTTCCTGATCTGAATTGTTGTCAGTAGTCTGGGATACAGGTTCCTTATTCATGGAGGGAAAAGAAAATTATGGGATAATATATCATTAGGTTGCATGGTGGTTACAATAAAAAGATAACTAAGCCACAATGTAAATTTGCATTCCAAATTAAAAAGGAAACTTCTTATCCTTGGTGATATAAACTGAAAATGAAGTCTAATAAGTTATATGGCTTAGCACAGATATTAACACTTGGTTCTAAAGATTATAAGACACTTCTCTCCAGGAAAGATTCCTGCAAATCAAATAAATCGCATATCTATTTTGAAATAGCTCAAGGGCTAACAGAATTAAGAAGGTACATTTATAACTTGTCTAAGAGTCTTAAAAGAAAGAAACATAAAAGTGAGTATTAAATGAAACAATAATGTAAATTTTCTTCAAAATGAAAGAAGCGAGTGTTCCTTTCTTTCCCAGTGAAAAAGCTTAAAAATGAAAACACAAGGCTTTGTGGTTGCAACCACAAAGACTCTAAATTGTTAGTTGGGCCTCTGATTCCACAAGCTGGGGAAAGGATTTGAAAGATTACAGCTCGATAGACTTTTATGTCCTTGCTACCCAAAGTGTAGTCCATGGAGCAGCAGAATCTCCATCGCTTGGGGCTTATTAGAAATGGAAAATCTCAGCTGGGAGCGGTGGCTCACACCTGTAATCCCAGCACTTTGGGAGGCTGAGGTGGGTGGATCACTTGAGGTCAGGAGTTTGAGAGACCAGCCTGGCCAACTGTCTCTACTAAAAATACAAAAATTAGCCAGGCATGGCGGTGCACACCTGTAGTCCCAGCTACTTCAGAGGCTGAGGCAGGAGAATCGCTTAAACCCAGGAGGCAGAGGGTGCAGTGAGCCAAGATCGCACCACTGCACTCCAGCCTGGGTGATAGAGGGAGACTTCCATCTCAAATTAAAAAAAATAATAATAATAAAATAAAACAAAGTGATTTTTTAAAAAAAAAGGAAAATCTCAGGCTTCATCCCAGGCCTACTTAATCAGAATCTATGTTGTAACATGATCCTTTGGTTTATATTCACATTAAAATTTAAGAAATACTGCTGCTTTAGATAAATCTAATGTATGGTTTCTACTAGATTTTGACAATTCTGGAAGTGATTATAGTTTTAAAAGTGGTTTAGATGACCAAAGCAAGGGGAATTAACATTAATTAAAGGCCTATTGTAGGTTTTTCTGCTGTCTAATTTGGTTCTCATGTTAATTCTATGACATGAGGATTACTGGTTTATAGACACATTGACAGTGGACAGCTGAGGTAGACTTCAAACCCTCACCCATAAGACTCCAGGGTCCTTGCTCTTTCCATAATGCCTCTGTTTAGGATTAGACAGTGGTGGCATTAAAAACTAGGATGAAAACATAAATGGAAGGTGAATTCTAAATTTGGCTCTAAATTAGGGAAACATACAAAATAAACTGTCAAAACTGGAAAGTTATTTGGATGTTTAAGATCCTTTCTATTTATTTACTTATGTTATTTTGTTTTAATCCACTGTGGCCCAAGGCACAGTCTCAAAAGGTCTTGAGAACATGTGCCCTCTCTTTTTTAAAATCCATTTAAGCTGTAGTTTTTTAAAACTACTTTTGAAGAAAAATCTATTTAAGAAGTTGTAGTGTACAATCGCATTCTAATTTGAGCATATTATATGACCTTTTATTTTAAATCCTGATAGATAACATAGAATAAGTAATATAATGAAGCTTATGTTTAGGAAAATTAAGTCTATGATCCTTTATCCTACCAGAGTTAGGAAAACAATTAACATTCTTATTTATTTCAAATCTCACACACCAAAAAAAGAAAAACTATGATAAAATATGGTTTTAGCTATCTGACATACTAGACTCAGAAAGGGAAAAAGGTTAAAAACACACATACCACTTGCTTTCTAGTGGTGAAACTTTTGCCGATGCAGGTGTGTGCTAGTTCCTGGTCCATCTGGGCCATATATGACTTGAGATTATCAAGAGTTCCTTTCAGAGAAGCCTCTTCGCCAGGTTCGTGTGTTTCGAAGTCCAAGTCA